CCCCCCTTTGCTCTGGGCAGGCAGCCTCTGGACAGCCCTGGCGGCCCCGCGGCCGCGCCGCGCCCGGAGTGAGCCGCGCACCCGGCCATCTCCACCGAGCCGTTTTGGCCGTTCGGGTCGGGTCGGAGGAGCCTCCGAGGAGGGCGGGTCTGAGGCAACGGACGTTGGCCGTCGCGGGGGCGGAAGGGGCCTCGTCGCCTCGTCCGGGCGCGGCTCGGAGAGAATCGGGTGCGTGCGCCCCCTGGAAGGGGTCCAGGGACCGAGCTTGAGCCGCCGTGGTCTCGCCTCGCCGCGCTGCTGGGCGCTGCACTTGTTTTTTTTGTTGCACTCGGCGGTTTTGCCTGGTTTCGGGCCCCGGGGCCGTCGCAGCAGCAAGGCGGGGTCCAGTCGGGCGGGGCTGGGACGAGGAGGAATCCGTTCCGGAGCTGTCCAGAGCGCTCTCTGGCAGGGCCGCGGCGCCCGAGGCACCCATCCAGAGCCGCCGGGATTTCAGAGAGTCTCGATGCATCCTCCTCCGAACTTCTCCTCGTCGTCCTCCTCCTCCTCCTCCTCCTCCTCCTCCTCCTCCTCCTCCTCCTCCTCCTCCTCCTCCTCCTCTTCCTCCTCCCCCAGTCTTGGGAGATGGGGGCAGCCTCTTCGTCTCAAGCCGGGGCCCGGTGCAGCCCGTGGGGGGCGCCCGCTCTTCGCGCAGGAGGTGTCCGACGGGCACGCGCGAGGAGGGTCGTGGCCTCAGAAGGGCGCCGTGCTCCGAGGGAGGGGGGCGGTATCTTCGTGCTCCGAGGGAGGGGAGCGGGATCTGCGCGCTTCGGGAGGAGAGCGGTATCTTCGCGCTCCGAGAGAGAGGAGCGTCGTCCGCATCCGTATATATATATACATATGTGTATATATATATATATATATATGTATAAATATAAATACAGATGTGAATATATCTATACATATATGTATATATATATATATATATATACCCCCGACTTCTATCCGCAGCGCATTGGCGCATACAGCGCCAGGAGGCGCCGGGGAGCAGGGGTCCACCCGAGCGGTGTTCTGGGCGATTTCGTGGGCCGTCTTCGCTTCGCCCCCGTTTTGCAGCAGAGGCGCATTGGAGGCAGAACGGGGGAGAACGGAAACAAGACGAAAACGAGACGTGCTGTTTCCGAATCGGGGATCGACTACACAATGAATTGATCCAGCGCGCTCTACACCTGAGTTTCCCGCCGGATCTGCAAGAAGCGCGTGGGATGATGCCAGATCCTACGGGCCAGCACAGGCACGTGCTCGTCGACTCGGCGGGCACGTCAGCTCTGGTGCAAACCAACGAATGGGGGGATTGGCGTGTCGTAGCGCCCCCGCCCCCCCCTGGAGGGCAGTCCCCCCCTTGGAGGTTGCCCCATGAGATCCTTCTCGCCGCGGGGCGACGTGGCGGTGCTCGGCAGGTCCCTCGGTAGGCCCGCTTCCAGCCGCGGCATGTTTTTCGCCGCGGCTAATCCAAGCTTCCCGCGGCCCGCTCAGCTTCGACCGGAAGAGGTGCGCTCTCGACCCGCGGGATCAAACCGTGTCTTTCGCCGCGGCGACGGGGGCGTCTCTCTCCCACGCCGCGTGGAGGTCGCTCCGCGGCGGGCTCCCCGGGCCGATGCCTGCCGAGAGAGCCGCCCGCGCCCCGCGGCGGGCCGGCCCGGGCCCTGCCCGTGGGGAGGGGGCCGCGCGCGGAGGAAGGGCTCGGCCTCGCTCGGGCGCGGGCGCCTACCTCTGGCCCGGCGGGCCTCGCCGGCCAGCAAAAGCCAGCGCCAGGGTCTCGGGGGGGGGGTCCTCAGGACCAGCCCTGAGGTCCTGGCGTTGCAACGTTTTGTTTCACGACGGGCGTTGTCGCACCGCCTCGGGTCCCAGGACCCTCGCGGATCGTTGCGGCTCGAGAAATGGCGCGGAACGACGGGGTCCAGGGCTCGAGGACAACGATGACGACGACGATGATGACGATGGTGCTGACGATGATGACGATGATGGTGGTGATGATGATGGTTGTGCTGGTGATGGTAATGGTGAACACGACCATGACGATGACTACGATGGTGATGATTGCGATGATGACGATGGTGAGGATCCTGGCTAGAACTTGAGCGCGCGCGAAGCGCGCGCGATGGTTCTAGTTATATATATATGTATATATATATATATATATTTGTATATTTGTGTATATATATATATATATATATATATATATATATATTATATATAAAATGAGGTTCGAGTAGGTGAGGGCAAAACGGCGGGCTAGAGGATAATGTCCGTCAGGGCGAGGAGGAAAAGGGTAAGGGCAATCTAAACAGATTCTCATGTGGGGTCCTTCCGTCGGAGTAATTTTGTGCTTCCCGAGGAGAGTGCCCCCGCCAAGAGCTCTTTGTTGACACTCTCGCCGACGTTCACGGCGGCGTCCTCGGGCCGATCGCTCGAGCAGGAGCTGTCGCAGCTGAGCAGCTGTGGGAGCCGCTCGAGGCTGCCGCAGCTGAAGTCGTGGCGCCACAAGCCGAAAAACACGTGGAGGGACACGTGGAGATCCGAGCATTCCGCCTCTTCAGAGCTTCCGCCGCAGCCGTCCAGCCCCATCGGCTGGGCGCGGCTCGCGCTGTGGACTCTGGCGCATCGTCACGGCAAGGCTTTTGACGCTGCCGTCGGCCTCCTCATCGTTGCGAGCTCCATCAGTGTAGGGGTAGAAATCCAGTGTGATCTTGAGGGCATGGCTGACTGCTCGAAGGTCACGCACGACTTGGAGCATTTCTTTTTGGTGGCCTTCATTCTGGAGCTCATCATCCGCGCCTCTGCTGATGGGCTTAGTTGTTGGCGGAGGGGATGGTTTCGGTTCGACACCGTCTTGGTTGCTGTAGGAGTGATTTCCTCCTGGGTGGTAGAGCCCATTGTACTAAACATTGTGGACGACGACGGGGGCGTAGTTTTCGACACTCTATCCCTGGTGCTTGTGCTGCGGCTCTTGCGCCTCATTCGCCTCGTGCGAGCACTGCGCCTCTTCCAGCAGTTCCAGGAGATGTGGAAGATAGCGAACGGCTTTCTGGCCGCGTTCCGCACCGTTCTGTCCGCCTGCCTTCTAATATTGCTGACAGTCTACGTATCCGCTGGCTTTCGGCCCATCCCGCCCTCGTGCCTCGGCCGTTGGCCGTCGGCCTCTCGGAGGCGTCCAGGGGCTCTCAAGTGGCGGCCTCTGGGGGTCTCTTGGGCGCCCCTCGAAGCTTCCCAGGGGCGCCCAGCAGCGCACGAGGTAGACCGTGAATTGGAGGGCTGGGGCCCTAAAAAGAGTACTGGTGACGCTCCGTATGGTGGTCGATCTGAGACCTTGACTCCGCATTGTTGTGTATTTGCGACATCCCCTACTGTATCATGCAACATTCCACATGTGTATATACTCAGGTTCAACATGCATGACATGCACTCATGGTTGCTTATTTCTGTTCTAAGGAACTGGGCCGTGTCTTCGGTCTGGCGGCTAGTGGCCGCTGTCGCCGCTCCGCCGCCGCCTCGTCGCCGCCCGTCGTCAGGGCCGCGTCTTAGGTCCGGCGGCTCCGTTTCAGCCGTCGCCGCCTCGTCGCCGCCCTGTCGCCGCCTGTCGCCTGGGTTTCTGTGTCGTTCTGGCAGTTATATGGCCGTCGCCGCCCAGTCGCCACCTCGTCGCCGCCCGTCGTCTGGACCGTGTGGCCGGTCTGGCGACCATGTTTTCGCCGTCGCCGCCGCTGGATTGCACCACAGCACCACAACAAGATTGTTGGATTGCCGCCGTCGTTGGCGTTGGATTGCCGCCGTCGTGTAGCAGCAAAAACAACAGCACCACCACCAACAACAACAGCAATAACAACAATATCAATACCAATACTAATGGTAGTAGTAACATTAATCATAATATTATTGGTAGAAGTATCACGATCAATACCATTCGTATTTATAGGATCACTCATGATGCTAATATGCAATGCTATCTTTCACTTTAGCGGTGTGTGGAGGTCCTCTTTCCTCTTCTTCTTTTCTTTGGGTAAACCAGGGCGCATTACAGCACCTCTCTCACCTCTTTCTCTGGGGCCCCTCTGGCCCTCTAATTACATCCTCCTATCCCCATACGTGGACTACGCAGCATAGCTTCTCTTCCCCAGACCTTTAGCCCAGGGGTCCTCACAAGCTTAGCCTAGCTCAAACTAGCCCCATCCTGACTACAATAACCTTAGCACTCCTCCTCTTGCCAGGATCTGTCATCACAACGACTTGCAAGCTAAAACAATGGGCTGGCATGAGCCCTTACTTGCAAAACTCTCGCGGTAGTATGACTCACATTACCTTTGCACGCTTGTTGGCCTGTATCTGACACAAGCGGTTCACCAGATCCTCCTTTGACCCCGACGTGTCTCCTCCGACCTTGGGCAACTCTTCATGCACTGTGTTGATGGTGAACCTGCTGATCACCTTCTCGTCACACGAATTGGTTATCTTCTTCAAATCCTTCGGAAGAGTCTCGGCCTTCGCGGTACGATGGCACGCACTTGAGGTTCCACCACCTTGATCTGAAACAATCACTCGTACACCATCTAGCGGCAGCACTCGAGAATACGGCTGGCTTGATTAACTTCCAGGGGTCGATCCACGGAACTTTCTCGAGCTCCATCACAGATGGAAACATCGAATTCACCACGTGTTTGACCGATCTGTAGCAACATAACCAATCCACGCATGCGCTGTACCATACCTTCAGACATCATGACAGCTCCTCCTTGGTTTGCGGTCGCCCCCACTTCTGCCCCCTCCTTCCTGGGCCCGCGTATGCCACGCGACTCCGTGTGCTTGAGGTGTGTATTCTTGTCGGGTTACCTCGTGCCGGGATCTTCGCGGTTGGACTCGGTGTTCGTCTTTTTGATGGTGGACCGCTTTTGGTTCACGAGCTCCTGTACGAAAATAACGTTGATTTGCATATGCTTCATGAGCTTGCCTGCTGCTGCTGGTGCTGGTATTTGCCGAGCAGTCACTCTTGAGAACAGCATGCGTAGACGTGCTCAACTCACCAGGATTCGCCTGACAACACGATGCCTCTGAAGCTCCACCCGTCAACGCATAGCCTTCTGCCGCTATACTTGACGTAGCAATCGTACCTTGAGTGCGCGAGAAGCTGACTAGCATAGCTCCAGCATAGTAGATGTGCACGTGCGTCATACTCTTACGATCCACTCGATCTGGAGCCCAGTTGGTATCAACTTCACCCTCGATCTCGGTCTCCTTGTCCAGATCGGGTTCTAAATACATTTCCCAGTCCATAGTCTGGGCAGCGCGGCGTCCCACGCGTTTTAGGCGAACGAGGTCTCCTGAGCTGGAGTTACTCATGGGACGAGAAACCCCCTTGATCGCGAACTGCATGTCGGTCCTCTGGTGTTCAATCAGCAAACCTGAGCCAGTGCAAGACCTGAATTGGCGGGGAGCTGCGTCTCTTAGGGTAGGCTCTCCCTCCTTGCGGGCTTCAGCCTTATCGCCTGGAGTACTGATCGCTTTGCACTTCTTCAATCCAAGTCCACGAATTAACCTCCACATCTTCTCCTCCTCAGCTTTCAGGCCAAATCCTTTTCCTGTGACCCTCGACTTCAATCCCAACTGATGGTGAATCAGACCTTCCACGAGAACTCCGATTCTCTTCACGAGAAAGTATTCGCTGATCTTGTCGAGCTGCTCCTCGATGTCGTCATCGGTGTTCGCTGTGATGAGACCGTCGTCCACGTGCTTGCTGAGTGAGATGTCCTTCTCAGGCATGTGGTGGGCTGCTGGATCCGAGCTGAGACGCCGAAACGCCAGCTGAGAACGATCTGGATACGCCGTCTTTCCAGTCACCACAGCAGCTAACTGATCGTCAAAGTCAATCATAAACTCCTGCAATCCTTGCAGCGTGCAATTTAATAGCCGTAAAGGTCCTTGCAATTCCTTTGGATGGTAAGCCCAAACTTCGTCCTTGGTAGGCGTATGCAGGAATGCTCTGGACAGATTGAAGAGGCCGACCCTTTTTACGATGAGTAGATGCACGCACCAGCAACAACTTCATAGTAGCTGGCAATGGCGCCAGACAGTACACCGCATCCATGGATCCCTTGACAAAACCAAATGGACGAGCACACAGCCTCATCTCTAAATCACCATTCCGGACTTAGTCTACCAACGTTAGCGTAATGACATGCTTGGTACATTCCAAAACAGGTCGTGCTTGCTGAGCTTCATGCTCGTCAAAGCGTGCGATCTCCTTTTGCTTCTTGATCCACTTCTCCTCCTCTGTGAAATTCTCCAGGCCCTTGGCAAATACCTCTGGCTCCTCATTAGCCTCCATCTCCGATGTCGTGTCCGTAATGTTCGCCACCACGGCCTCCGCTGACGCTGACATGGCAGCCGACCCTGAGGCCGTGGCTGCCTCTGGGGCTGCCACTGCTGACTCTGCTGCCCCTCCGTCGTGTTCAAAAGCCTGAAACTTCCTTGCTTGATCCATCTCGGCTTCGGTCAGCGCTTGCTCGGACCAGACTCTGGTAGGATGTCTTGGGGGCTCTGGAGCTGCTCCTTCTGCTTGTGCTGAGGCATCTCTGGAGGCCACTGGAGGCCGTTGAGGCCCATCTCCTCCTGGGACTCGAGCCACGAGCTGGGGATCAAGGGCCAACGCGGCCGCGCCTGCCTGTGCTGCTTGTATTCGCTCGTCTGCTTTACGTTGACGACGAGCTGCTGCATGGTGTCGTGGGCGTCCTCGTCTACGTGCTGGCTTCAACTCCTCCTCGCGTGCGAGACGCCCCTCAGTAGCCGATCCCACCGACGTTCCCTCCTTGATATCACCGGCTTCGTCTAGATGCCATGGCGTCCAAACCATCGTCCACTGGCTCCCAGAGGAGACTCGACGCACAGCTCTAGCATGGATAGCTCCATGCAGGTGCCCCCGCGATATGTCTCCATTAGCACAAAAACGTCCCAACCAACCAGACACCCACAGACCAGTAACTCACTGAGGTATGAACGTGTTCCCTACTTGCCCGAGCATGCACGCATTGCCCAAACTCTAACAGCTCGCTCTTGTGCTTACTCATGTTTGCCTCCTCGAATGGTGTCTTCCCGTTAGGTCGCACATGACATCTGTTTTGCACAAAAGCTCCATGACGTGCAATCCACGGTGAAACAGCTGATTGAGGTCCAACTTTTTAACCCTGAACATTTGTTATCGAAACAGATCTTGTAGTTTCTCACCAGGCTCTTTCGTAATTCTACTGCTTGCTCAGGTGCTCCGTTTGACGCAGGCGCTGATGCTGGTGACTTTCGAATCGACACTCGCTTCATTTTTTCTCGACTGATGCCCCTCTCGGCTCGCTTCGGGCCGCAGTCCTCTGAACAACTGCTTGACATAGAGATACTAGGACTGGTTCTCCATTAGTTTGTATAGTTTAACGTTGGATACCCGAGCTTATCCATGAGCGCCGCGACTACCGCAATCGAATACTGGATCCACTCCTTTTCTCCTCAACATCGCTGCTGACGTGTATCCCCGACTCAAATGTTACCCAATCAGACAGGGAGCTGCTTCTGATCCTTCCTTCTCCTCAACAGTGAAGAACGCATATTCGAAACGCGCCGCTGAGTTGGCATCCTCTCCGTGATCTCCCGTCCTTTTGTGGGGTGCATTAGATGCTCTTCCCACTGCGCGAACATGACACCGCGGTGCAAGCGGCAGGTGGGTGAGATTATGTGCCACTCTGGTGCGCGGCAATGGGGACCTTGGCCGATTCGGCTGGGCAGCTAATGCTGTCGGCGCCCCCGCAGACTCTTGAAACTCATCTTGCACAGGCACCTCCGCTGGCGCTGATCCTTAATCTGCGTCCTGGGCACCATCCTGAATCTCCACTTCGTCTCCATCGACAGGTACCAGCAATCCATCTTGATGGGTGTCGATCAAAGCAAACTGATTGCCAAGTGTCTCCGCTGGCACAGCCGCAGGTAAAACAAGTACTCCAACTCCATAGGCCATCCAGCTCCGATTCCCAAAGCATCTCGAGTAGCCCTCGTCGGCCTTTTCCACCACTGACATAGTAGGACGCCTAACATTGCAAACGGCATATTGGGCTCCAATCTGCTGTACATCTCCGTCGTCCTGTCGAACATGATGCTCGGTGTGGCGTAGTCCTCAAATGTCTAGCTTCTTGCCAGTCACTGAATACAGCTCCGCTTTGCATGCGGGCGGCGGTTCTCGAAACACTCCCGCGGATGCAATCTGACTCTCGAATGGCATCACACAATCCAGCGCTCGTCATCGATGGTTCCCGTGATTCTCGTTGAGGCCAAGCTTAGTGGAGCTGTTGAAGACGCGCTGGCACTCGACGGGCGTGCGTCTCTTGGATTCTTGGACTTGTCGCTCACCTCCTGCACAGCTGGCTTCTGCCAGCAATCCCTCTTGCGATGCCCATGCTTCCCCCAGTGATTGCAGTAGCCGTCGAACTTCTTGTTGGAGTTGTACTTCTCTTTGCCCTTACCTTCGCTCTTGCACATGCCTCTTTTCATCTTTCCACCCTTGGGCTGACCACCCTTGGTTTGGCCTCCCTGGGGCTGACCACCTTCCCGTGATCCCTGCGGTCATTTTCTTGGAATAAATCCTAATTCCATCGGCTGAACTCCCTGATGTTGTGCTTGAGCTGCCATTGCGAATGACTTCGATTTTGCTTGCTGCTCGAGAGCTTCCTTGAGATGGGTCGCATTGGCGACGCTCGTGATCTCCACCTGCTCCTTGAGGCCTGGTGGTGCCGTATTCTTCAATAGCGCTTGGTGTAGTGTATCGCCGAATACCTCGCCGCACCTCTCCTCGTACTGCTTGATTCTCTCCGATAGCTTTGTCGTGTCGTCGATGAGGTTCTCTGCTTTGCCGCTCGTCCGGTGGTCCAGCAAGGCTTGCAACACAGCTATTTGTGTCGTGCACCTCCTTCGGCTCTTCTCGCCTGCGCAGGATGCTCCAAGCCTGCAGACCATTGATTCCCTTCACCGTCATGATGAGAGTGAGGGCACTGCTTTGTAGAACATTGGCGAGAATAATCATCATAGCTGTTGATGTCTTCCCTTCCTCCTCGCTCAAACTGCTCGTCTTGATCACGTTCTGTACAGCTTCCGATCGTTTCGCCTTCTCTGCAATAGTAGGGTCCATTGCCGCTAGAGGCGCTGTGCAACTGAATTTTCACCCCTGCCAATCCTGCGAAGCTCCACCGTATGAGCGAGGTTGGCTGATCAATTTTGTATCCGCCAAGGCCATCAAGGAACGAACACAATCCGGCGAGCAATATCAGGCAACTCTGCGCTGCCATGTCATATTCTCGCTTACATCAGCGGAGTGTGAAGATCCTCTTTTGTCCTCTTTTCCATGAGCCAAACAGGGACCATTACAGCGCCTCTCTCACCTCTGTCTCTGGGGCCTCCTCTCTTGCACTCTAATTTTGTCCTCCTATCCCCACGCAGGGGCTACGCAGCATGGCTTCTCTTTCCCAGACCTTGGGCCCAGGGGTCTTCGCAAGCTTAGCCCAGATCAGCCTGGCCCCATGATGATGATGATGATGATGATTATTATTTTTATTATTATTATTATTATCATTATTACTATTATTATTTTCAATATGAATGGTAATACTGCCGACGACGATGCTTATGATGACGACGACGACAACATCATCAGCAGCAACAACAGCAACAATGACAGCAGCAGCAACAACAATGACAGCACCACCACCAAAACAAAAACAACAGTCAGCGCCGCGGAACCCCACTTCAGCCACGCGCCCAGGGACAGTGGATGACCGTTCGACCCCCTCATTCTTATTCTGTGCGCGCACTCGTTCATAAGAAGCCAACAGTTTCCGATCATTTCTTGCAACAGATGGGACGACATGAACACGTGCGCGTCGTCGCGCGCGCATCCAGGAATCCTTCAAAGCCTTAAATTCCGCGGCGATTTCAGAATCGAGTGCCCCCGAAACGTACGCAAACACATGGTTTTGCAACAACAGTTTTCGAACACAGGTCTGCGCGCGTGCGCTCTTGCGGAGTCCCCAGAGAACCATCGGTTTTTGTTGTTCAGCATTTTAATTCGAGCGAGCGGGCCTTTCGCGCGCGCATGTCGAATGCGTTCGAACGCAGTTGCGCGCGTGTTGGGGGGTGGGGTGGGGGGGCGATCCGTGCCAAATAATACCATGCGGGCCACCCGCCCGCGTCGGCTGCGCGCGTTTGTCGAATTCTTTGAAAACTTTTATCTCCGCCGCGAGGGCACCATGATCGTTATCGGCGTGATCAACATCGGCGCCGTCATTGGCCGTGCCTCCGTCATCGTCATCATCGTCACCATCATCGCTACTCTCATCATCGTGTCGACCGTTGTTGACGTCGCCACGACGCCGCGCTCGCCCAAGTGACCGACTCGCACTGGAGTGCCCGCGCGTCAGCCAGCGCGGCCTGCGAGACGCGCTGGGAAGTGCCCAGCGGTCAACGCCACCAGTCGCGTCCGTTTCGCCAAACTAGCTGGCCGCTGTGCGCGCAAGCATGCGCGGGCTAGTGCGGCCGCAGACACGCACCAGCCAGCGCCAAGCAGCCATCGCAGTCGCCGCCGCATGGGTTTTCCAAACTTTGCGGGTGGGAGAGTGGCAGATTTGCGCGAGCATGGGAGGTGGGCACGCGCGAGGAAGTCACAGTCAATTGCATCGCATAGATTGCACCACATATGCTGCAGCACATAGATTGCCCCCCACACAGGCTGCACCACACAGAGTGCACTATTTGCTGTTCGCGCTTTTTTTGTTGGTTTGTTTTTGTTTGGGGGAAATACCGGTCACAGCATAAAGTGCATTACGTATATTGCACCACATAGGTTGCACAAGGTATTTTGCATTACATATATTGGGGTTCATGCTGCCTGACCTCTGTTTATGGGCCACGGCTTCGCCAGGCTAAGCTTCGTTGGCTCGCTTGCTCGCAGTTTTTGATACGTGGGAACACTTCACTCGGTGCCTGCGGTACGGAGGCGGATTCGCTTGTCTTGCCATTGAGTTGATCACAAGAAACTCGTCATTGCGGCAAGATCCGGTGACTGCACAGGTGATCCATACGCACTTCCCATCGTTGCAAGTGACCATGCTCACGTTAGTTCAGTTCGCGAACACAGATTCTATTGCGGCTGTGTACAAACCAATCGTGGAGAGGGCATGGCATTTGGTATTTTTTTTTGGTCTTGTCTGGCTCATCGTGACGATCATGGCATGGAATTTGATAACAGCTCTCATTGTAGACGCGGCCATCGTCCAGGGTGATTCTGATCGAGAGTTCGAGCTGGCCATGAAGCGCAAGAGGTTGAGGGCCCTCGAACCTATCATGAAAGCCCTTTTCCAGGAGCTCGACAAACGCGGAAATGGCCATCTCAGCCTGAGCGAATTCAGGTCTGGGTTAGAGAGCATGGAAGCGACCACCATGAAGCACCTCCCGGCAGACCTCAGGAACATCCTGGAATCGGACCAGCTCATCGAAGTGTGCGAATGTCTGGACTCTGATGGCTCAGGTGCGATCGACGAGACGGAGTTTATTGACGGAATCTTCAGCCTGGTGCTCCAGTCCGTTCCCATCGAGACCACCCAGATGCTGCAGCTGCTGCGCACGCAGAGCGACGTGCTGCAGAGGATCCAGCGGAAGCTGCCCGCGGTCGTCCACCGATCGCAGCACTGAGGGGCGCAGGCGCACGCCGCAGGCTCCATGTGCGTCTGGCACGACGGCGCGCCGTGGCCCCCCAGCTGCCCAGCGCGAAGGTGTCACGGGGGACACCTCGGTCCTCCACAGGGAGGTGTTGGCACCCCGTGCCGAGCTCGGCCACCCCGATCCTCAAGGGCGCCCTCGAGGGCGCGAAGCTGTTGTTCGCGCTTCGCGCTTTTCGGTTCGGCTCCGATTCCTCATCCTCCTCTTCATCCTCTTCTTCATCCTCATCCTCATCCTCATCCGAAGTTCCTCTTCTCCCCTAGGGGTCGGCGCGAGAGTGCGAAGTTATTCGCGCTTCGCGTTTCGCGCGGCGCGGAGCGCGAAGTTGGGTGCCCTTGATCATGCCGCTCGGACGCCTCCCCTGCGAGCGCCACCGTCTTCACTCAGGGAGCGGCCTGCCAGCCTCCTGCGCAGACTCTTTCGGCCATTCCTCCTCCTCCCTCTCCTCTCTCCTCCGGCGAGTGCGCTGCTTCGGCTCCTTTCGGACGGCCCCAACTCTGCACCCACGCCCATCCTGGTCAGGCCCACCCTGGCCCCAGCACCGGCGTGCACGGCCCAGAACTTTGGCTCGGCGTGTCGCTCCGCTGGCTCTGGCCCACCGTGCGCGTCCCAGCCCCCGGGCAGCCACGTCGCGAGCCCCTCCCGATCTGCCGCCTCGCGGAGCGGAGCGACGTGCTTACGGGGCCCAGAGGTATACACCACCACAACCACATCCCTGATCCCCTCCCTCTTCCAGGACAGAGGAGAGGAAGCTGAGGCTGGAGGAGGGAGGAGGAATCGATGTGGTGGTGGTGTATATTCTTGGGGCCCGCAATGCTGCCCCCCCGCAAGGCAACGCGTGTCGCCGGGGCCGCCGCCCCGCAGGCCTCTTCCTGGCCTGGCCGGGACGGCACGCACGCCATGGCGAGGCCCAGGATCGACCCGAGGACATGATCGGCTCCTCCTCCTTCTCCTCCTCCTCCTCCTCCTTCTCCTCCTCTCGGCACGGACGAAATGGACACGGAAAGAATTGGTACAATGCCCCACAGCAGTTCTTGCTCATTTGGAACAGGACTCGCTGTCCGCGCCGCCGCGGCTGTGTCCGTTTGAGACAGGAGGCCGCCTGCCCAACAGCGGCCGCTGTTGGTTTGGGACAACATTTGCTGTTGGGCCTTGTACTCATTTTTCTCCGTACCCATTTCGGGCGTCCAAATCCTCTTCCTCCTCCCTCCTCCCTCCTCCCTCCTCCCTCCTCTCTCCACCTACTCCTCCCTCCTCCTCCTCCTCCTCCTCCTCCTCCTCCTCCTCTCGTCCTCCTCCTCCTCCTCCTCCTCCTCCTCTCCTCCTCCTCCTTCTCCTCCTCTTCCTCCTCCTCGTCTTCCTCCTCCTCTTCCTCCTCCTTCTCCTCCTCTTCCTCCCTCTTCCTCCTCCTCTTCCTCCTCCTCCTCCTCCTCCTCCTCCTCCTCGGGTGCACCGTCGGGACCCTCCGCTCCCCCGCCATTCGCCCCAGCTTCCAGGGCGCTGCGGCCCCGCCTCGCGGCGCCCGCGCGGTGCACGACGCAAGCCGTGCCCCCCGGCGACCTACGACGACGAAGGCGTCGATGCTTTTTTTGGTTGGCGGGGGCATGCCGACCTGCATCCACGAGGGAGGGGCCCAAGAGGCCCCGAAGAGGACCCCAAGATGGTCCAAGAGGGCCTAAAGACGGCCCAAGAGGCGCCCAAGATCGCCCAAGAGGGCCCCAAGACGGCCAACAGAGGGGCCAAAGACGGGGAACACGAACCGAGAATTCGAGCCTTCCGCCCCAAGAGGCCCCCAGGAGGTACCGAGGGGCCGGCCCGCCCCTCCCCGAATCGGAAGAAGCGAGCGGAGGAGGGCGGGGCCCCCCGGGGGCCCCAGACTGGTCCGAGCCACCTCCCCCTCCCCCCCGCGAGCCCATGCACCGCGCTGCCAGCGCGGAGGAGGTGTGCGCACCGGGCCCGCGAGGGGTCCGAGATCCTTTCCCCCACGCGCGACGTCCTGAATTTTGCAGCGCGGGGTCCCCGGAGGTCCCCACCCTTCTCCCCTGTAGTGGCGTCCTCCCCCCCGCTTCTCTCTAGGCCTCCTAGGCGGGGTCCGAGCAGATGGGGTCGGAGGATCGCGCCGCATCGCCGATGCATCGCCGATGCATCGCCGAGGCATCGGCGACGCATTGGCGATGCGGCGCGATCCTTTGAGACCCGCTACGTCCCGAGTTTGTGAATACGGGGTCCCTGGAGGTCCCCACCCTTTCCCCTGGACCGGTTTTTCACCCCGAGTCGTTTTTGGATAGCCCCGAGGCCCGGCGAGGGCCCCGCGAGGCCGAAAAGGGCCAAGAACCGCCCGTCCTGATCTTTCCACGGCGCGATCATGTCTGGGTGTGGGCGGCGGCAAAGGACGGGGTCGGCTGCGGGAACATTCGCGCCCACATTGCCCGCGCAAGGTCGCGTGTCACGTCGCGGTGTGTTCCACAAAGCGGCAGTTTCCTGTTGCTAAGCGGGCATGAGCGGCGAGTGGGAGGTGATTGCTTGACGGTTGACGCGGGGCGTGTGCCACTATTTGCCGCTCATTGGTTGCCACACTGTGCAGCTATTGGCAGCTATGTACCGCGAGTCTGCCGTCATCTTGACTGAGATAGGCTTCCATAAAAAGAACGTAAGTGTGCCACGCCGGCGGCCCGTGTGGGCCGCGGTGCATGGTCGCTTCGTCATCGTGCGTACCCTGATATTCGACCTAGCGAAACATTTGCAACATCGTAAGAAATCACGCCCGGCGCTCTGGACCCCATCTTTCTGTGTCATTTTTCGAGCCCGATTGATCTCTGTAAAGGGTCCCGAGGACCGAAAAAAGGTGAAAACGCCCGGCTCGAAAAAATTGAGACGCCAGGATCTCAGGGATCCTTTCCCCGGGACCGGTTGTTCATCCTGAGCCGTTCTTCGACGGTCCCGAGACCCGGTACGCAAGGGGCCCCCAAAGATCTCCCTGATTTTGGCAGTTAGTGTTAAGTCGGGCCTGCCCCTCTACAGGGGGAAAATTCAAAAATAGTTAAAAAATAGTATGGGAACTATTTTTTTTTGGACCATCTCGGAGTATTTTTGAATATTTATAACTTGTCGTCGAAATTCCCCCTGTAGGGGGACAGGCCCGACCTAAAGCTAGTGGCAGCTATGTGCCGCCCTAATCATGACGCGATCCTGTCCGGGACCCCATCTGCGCGGACACCATCCGGGGGGCCTCGGGAGGCCGCGGGGCGACCTTCGCTCGGCGGCCTTCGCTCCTCGTCGTCGTTGTCGTCGTCGTCGTCGTCGTCGTCGTCCTCGTCCTCGTCGTCGTTGTCGTCGTCGTCGTCGTCGTCGTCGTTGTCGTCGTCGTCGTCGTTGTCGTCGTCCTCGTCGTCGTCGTCGTCGTCATTCGTCGTCGTCGTCGGCGTCGTCGTCGTCGTCGTCGTCGTCGTCGTCGTCGTCCTCGTCGCTCGTCGTCGTCCTCGTCCTCGTCGTCGTCGTCGTCGTCGTCGTCGTCGTCGTCGTTCGTCGTCGTCGTCGTCGTCGTCGTCGTCGTCGTCGTCGTCGTCCTCGTCGTCGTCGTCGTCGTCGTCCTCGTCGTCGTCGTCGTCGAGCGGGGCGCCTCCCGGGGCGGCTCTCCGCGTCGCGCTGCGACAGGATCACGACGGGAGGCTTTTTGCTAGTTTCGGCCCGCAGGGGCCCTCGCATGGCCTCAGGGGCGTCAAGAAGCGACTCAGGACGGAAAACGGGTCCCTGGGAAGGGGTCCAGACCTCTGGGGGTCGACGTTGTGAAAAATCACGACGTCGGGGGTCTGGGGGACAGGCCTGCTTGTGAGCAGCATCTTCCTCGACCTGCACGCCGATCGACGCTCCTCGACAGTCCTCGTTGAGCGACCACGCCGGTTGTGACACAGTGGCAACGCCAGGACCTCAGGGATTGCGAAGGCCTCACGGCCAGAGCCGCCGATACCGACCAGCGCGACGGCCGCACCGCGCTCGCAGCAGCCCCCGAGGCCCCCACGGTGCTACGCTTGAGTCGGGCCTGTCTCTGTACAGGAGGGACATTCAAAGATACCCCCAAAAATAGTCAGGGGACGATTTTTTAATAGTGTGTTTTGATGATGATTATTAGTATTAGTTTTATGATTATTGTTATTACTTTAATATTATTATTATTAGTATTATCATTATTAGTAATACTATTAGTACTACTACTAATACTACTACTACTATTAATAATAATAATACTAATAATGCTTTAAATAATAATAATAGCACTAATACTACTACTAATAATACTACTAATCATAGTACTCATAATAATATTAATAATAATAATACTATTATTGTTGTTATTATTATTCGTATTATTATTATTAATACTAATCATAATAATAATAGTAATAATAGTAGTAGTAGTAATAATAATAATAACACTAATATTAATAATATTAGTAATAATATAATAATGATAGTAATACTAATAATAGTAATAATAATAATCATACTAATAATAATATTTGTAATAATAATAATACTAATAATAATACTAATACTAATAATAATAATACTAATACTAATAATAATAATAATAGTAGTAATAATAATAATGATAATAATAATAATAATGATAATAATAATAATATGAATAATATTAATAATAGTAATAGTAACAATAATAATAATAATAATAATAATAATGATGATGAAGATGATAATAATAATAAGAATAATAATAATAATAATCATATTAATAATGATAATGATAATAATAATAATAATAATAATAATAATAATAATTCTAATAATAATAATATATATTTATATATATATATATATATATATATATATATGTATTTTTCATTCTTCCCAACATCCGCCTGTAGGGGACATGCCCGACCCACTGTTGCGCGGCACCACGGCCGAGGCCGGCCCCCGGGCGGACGCCTGGGCAGCGAGGGCGCCCCGCGCTCCGGGCCTCCGCGGGCCCGGCCGCTCCGCGCACCGCGGGCAGCGGAAGACGGCCCCCGCGCTCGCGGCCGCGGCTTTCCCGGGACAGGCTCGCGCTGCTTAGGAAAGCAGAGCGGTTTTTTCTCGCCAGGCTTCGGCCTCGGGGGGCCCTCGCCGACAGAAGACGGCTCGGGACGAAGAACGGGTCCCGGGGAAAGGGCGGGGACTTCCAGGGACCACGCGTTGAAAAAGTCAGGACGTCCCATGTCTTGGTTTCCAGTCTCCAGGCCTCGAAGGCCGGCCGCGCGCACAGGTGGGGGGGGGGCGGGGTAAGGGGAGGGGGAAGGCTTCTTAGAAGCACCCTGCTTCTTCGAGGGCTTGGGCCTCATTTCTGGAGAGATGCAGGGCCGGCGCCCTCTTAGAAGCACCCCTGCTTCTAAGAGGCCTTCCCCCCTCCCCCTCCCCCTACCCCCCGAAGCCTGCTCGAAGCCTGGTCGAAGCCTGCTCGAGGCCTGGTCAGAGGGACCCCTCAGGGCGGAGCCGAAGCCCGCGGCACCCGCCTGTCGGGCTGCCCCGCGAGCCTGCGCGGCCGCTTGCGCGGCCGCCCTCGCCCTGCGGCCGCCCCCCGCTTCGCCCCCTCGCCTTTGGACCGTGCGGCCCACGTGGGCTGGGCGCACGCCTGGCAGCGAGGGCTCGACCCCCTGTGGCCGCCGACGGCACCACGCCGTAGGCTGCTGGGGGGGGCGCTCCTCCACTGAGGGGGCGGGGGGCCCCAGCCGTACCCTCCCCAGGGCCCGCTCTGGCCTCCACCCCGTCGTGCTGTGGCCGCCGACGACACCATGCCGTCGGATGTTTTAATTAGGGGGGGGGCGCTCCTCCACTGAGGGGGCGGGGGGCCCCAGCCGTGCCCTCCCAGGGCCCGCTCTGGCCTCCACCCCGTCGCGGAGCAGACCCCAGCAGGCTGGCGCGCACTCCCCGTGACGGCTCCGGGAGAGGTTCCCCGTCGAGCAGGAGCCCCGAGCAGGCCTCCCGCGCCGCCCCCCTTCCGTGGACCGCCGATTGGGCCCGCCTTTTGCCCCGCTCCTGCACTTGGGGTGCCTCGGCTCGCGCGCGTGCGCGCGCCCCAACCCCCTCCCTCTCCCCCTCCCCCTCCCCCTCCCCCTTCTCCTCCTCCTCCTCCTCCCTCCTCCTCCTCCTCCTCCTCCTCTCTCCTCCTCCTCCTCCTCCTCCTCCTCCTCCCCCTCTCCCCCTTCTCCTCCTCCTCCTCCTTCTCCTCCTCCTCTTCCTCCTCCTTCTCCTCCGCCCCACCGGCCTGGGCCGTGCCCGCGGCGCTCGCCGAGCCCCAACGAGGAGCACGGCCGCCCTGGCCGCGGGCGCCCTGGCAGCAGGCGCCGCTGCGGCCGCCCCCTGGCGGCGGGCGCCCTGGACGCGGCCTCGGGGCGTGCTGGGAGCTGTCGTGAGCAGGCCATCTTGGAGGCCCTCTCGGGCCTCCTCGGGCTCTCTGGGGGCCCCGTGGGAGCCATCCCGGGCCAGGCCTGGGCGCTCCACCCTCGTCCTGCACTCTCCCGCACCCTCCGCGCGCAGCTGCCGCGCTGCCGCCGCCGCGGCGGCCGCAGCGGCGGCCGCCGCCGAGGCCGCATCGCGGCGGCACCCTCTGCGCGGAAGCCGGGAGGTGCAGGTCCAGGGCCCCCCCTGGCCGCTCTTGGCGGCCCCGAGCCGCGGGCGCCCCCCGGGCGCCGCCCCAGGCGGGCTGGCCGCGCGCTGCTGGAGCCCCGCGGCCCTCTGCACAATTTTTGACTTCCGCCCGCCAAGCGGCGTCGAGCCCACCTCGTCCGACAGGCCGCCCTCCTCGAGGAGCACGCACGTCTTCGCGCCGTCGCCGTGGAGCCATGCGCGCCCGAGGGCATCCACCCAGGGAGCGCCCGCGAGGAGGAGGGGAGGGCCCTCGCCCACCACCTCGGCCGCCTCGCATTCAGTCGCGAAGCCCTCGCACTCGGCCATCGCGAGTTCCACCAGGCGCGGCAGGCGGGTGGCTGCGCTGAGGCGAGCGGGCGAGCAAGGAGCCGTGCACGGCAGCGGCGCGTGGTCAGTAGGGTGAAACGGAGAGGATGGTGATGGGCCGCTTTTCCACCACCACTGCCATAGGTAGGATGGGGGAGAAGGGAGGTCCTCCTCCTCCTCCTCCTCCTCCTCCTCTTCCTACCTATTGTAGTGGTGGTGGAACATCGGCCGATCAGATGGGGTGAAACGGAGATGCAGCAGTGTCTCCGCACTGTCGGGCGAGCGGGCGTGCAGAGGGGCATCCCTCCCGCTCTCTGCGCCCGTGCAGTGGCCCGTGGCGGAGGGAGGATTGGAGGAGGGGGAGAGAGGCAACGAGGCGCGGGGAGGAGGCAGGAGGGAGGGGACAGGACAGGTGGAGGGGGGATGAGCGAGTAGGGAGGGGGGATTGGAGGAGGCGCGAGGAGGTGCGAGGGCGGAG